CTCAGGCTCAATCAATTAGTGCACACAGTAGGTAAGAGGGAAATGGACTTAGATATTTTTAGATTTACTCATTATATTCTTAGCGAATACTAACCCTCTCTGAACTTGTGCTATAGTTATAGAGACTATATGATATCATAAAATTATACTTTCTATTAATATCACCGTTTGGGAGAAAAATAAAGTAAACCCGAAATACTGACATCCATTTCACCCGTCTTCCAGAGCGTAGTCGGTGTCCGTCTCCCGGACGCTCATTGGTTGAGCGCCGCTACACTCCGCCCAAACTCCACCAAACCCCGCCCTAATCCCGCCTCCGAAAGTGATGTAGCAGAAAAATGGTTGGACTACATAGTGTTCACTCGTGTTCCCGTTGTAGGACACGCACTTTTACAGCGTCAACTCTATGTAGCGGAGGTGATAGCAAGTCACCTACAACTCGTACCACAAGTTCAACTTGTTCATACATCGACAACTTGAGCATATACTTCCAAGGTAAAGATATGTTCCGTGCTGAAACTTTCCTGGTGGACCCATGTGCCTTTGTGTTTACGATCTACGGCGAATTATAAGTGTTTTGGTGAACGGAGTGTTGGAGGCGCCAGTTTTTCCCTCCAGTTAACCCGAGTGGCGGGCCAGGCGCGGGTTGGCTCCCTGGTTCCCCTGTGGCTCTCCGTCATTCACGATTGCTCCAAACAACACGAGCTTCTCAGTTTGACAGAAAAAAGTGATCGTCTAGTCCGTGCTGGAAATGAGTGAACATATAACTTCATATCGGAAGGTCAAACTCGAGTGCTGAAATTTTTGCGAAATGTGTGAGTGATCGACCTCGTATCTCGTCCTAATAGAGATATTTTGTGTACAGTAATAAGGAATAGCTCGCAGAAAAAGGACAACAAGGTTTTTCATTGTCGTTAATCGCATACTTTCATTCTTTCACCTTTGTCTTTGGCCTGCACTCGGAAAGGACGCCCCCTCATTCAAAGCAGTTGATCTCTAATTCAAGATAGCTCAGCAAGAATACTCCACATATCTAGTGACAGTGAAGTCCCAATCTCCGTCATTTACGTATCATGGGTCAGTTTATTGTAAAACGTAAATTAGGACCAAATAGACCTCGGCGCGAGTTCAGTAGGCTTGAGATTGCCATTTAGAGGGGTTTATGTCATGGGCCTTCTAGTCTTCCATGTTTTATTAAGGTGAATGTAATTTTCCTATGGAGGGGTCGGATAAATTTGAACAGTTTAGCAAGTGATTGGGTAACACAGCGAAAAAACGCCCGAAATTGTATATTAATGAGGTTCTTGGATTCATATTTATCTAATATTAATAAACATTCAAGTGTTATACCTAGTACCTAGTTATTAGAGCAATCATGTTAAATGTTCTTGACGGTGTGTAATCATATTGAAATACCTACTCACTCGGTTTCATGAAATATGGCAGGACCATAAGACGATCGGGGTTTAAAAATGTTGTGAATAGAGTCAATCAGCTGTAAAATCTTAGAAGGTTTTCTCCGCCCGCGAGAAGGCGTCGCAAGTCTAGGGATTTCGCATTCCAAGTTTCGTTGTCGCGCAGAGATGCCACGGAAATCGACCAGGTATAGCGCCAATTAGGAACCTCATCAATCATACTTCTTCATATTGCAATTACATTTTGCCTAAGCGTATCTTCATTCGAGTGTTCGATTGATCTAAACACCTGGCGAATGTTTATAGCAATCATTTAAGATAATCACTTACTGAAACTGTCGCAAGCTTTATGTATGATTGGTACACACTAAGGAACGAGAGACGAAAGATGTGCAGAGAGCAGTCGGAGTAGCCACGGAATTAGCCGCGGTAAAATTATCGCGGCAGTAATCCCAAGACTACGAACAACTCATTTAAATGCGAGACGGGCCGACGCGGCCGCGATTATGCAGGGCACGTCGCCAGTGTCGCGGCGGAGCGCTAACACTTACTAAATTTTCCCTGAGTGCTGCGAATGAACCATCCACAGCGAAGTCATGACGTTCTATTCACTTCGTTAGTATGATCAATATCTAACAATATTGTTCCGATAAATAACACATCGATTATTTCAATAGAAGTATCTTCAGTCCTTTAGTACTAACACAGAGTAATATTCATACATACTGATCAGAACTATTTTCCATTACAAATATTTTTACTCCCGAATCATAACGCTTCTGACACCACCAAGCGAGTAGGCGACAGGGGCTTGCGTCACCCCGCTGAAGGCACAGCATCATCGGGTTAAAATCAAATCTGATCCGCTTGTCATACAGCCTGGCGAAGCATCCCTGGTAATTTCCAAACTTAATCTCCAATTTGGCATACACCCCTTCACCCCTCCTCCTCCTCCCCCCTCTCCTCCCCCCGATATTTCTCTCCCCATTTCGCTTCACCCCTTCAGGCCCCTCTCCGCCCCCCTCCCCACCCCATTCCGCCGCGCTGGTCGGAGAGCATGAGTGATCAGAAGGGATAGTTGTTTATATGTAAATTAGAAGGGCGGAGATTTAACTGCGTTGTTTCCCCATTACCGCCCGCCTGTTCTGGTAATTGTCGCAGTTTATGTTTGGGCCCCGTATGGTTTAGTTTTGTTTTAATTGGCTATTTTTTAGCCATTTTTTGGAGGGGGACTGGAGCGGGCGTTCATTTTTTTTTTTCTTTTTTTTTTTTGTAAATTTTGTTATTTGATTCTTCGGAGTCAGAAGTTCTCGCAGCTTTAGAACTTTCGCGATTTATATCATTGATAATTAAATGTAAAAATGGATTGTGTGATTGCTTTATTAATATTTTTATATAACTAATTAGCGCAATCATCACATTAACTGGATCACAGTAAACATCAGTGTTAATTTCTTTTACATTTATAATGATGTAGAGGATTCTGTTCCGCCAGTAATTAGGGTAATGAATTTATTCATTGTTATTACAGGTTGAACCATATTTAAGCAGGATGAAAACCCCAAATTCTTTTAAATAATTTCGATTATATATTTTATTTCGAACTTACCGTTATTGGTTGAAAATAAGCACTACTTATTTATGATACTGAAGTATCACTCTAATAAACACTAAATAAATCATGAAATAAACCAAAAATAGTTTAGCATTTACAGTTCATAAATTCATATACATACGTACGACGCATTCATAATTATTATGATGATATATCGCTGTTCAAGTCGCAGCCTCACCGCCGGCAGAGCATCCTCCCCCATCCTCGCCTCATCCCCCTCCATATCGCCGCTCCCATCGCTACCTGCCGCCCATCATCATCCTCACGCGGGCGGCATCATCAGACCTCTGCCTTCCCCTTCCATCCTTGCACCGTCCCCGCCATCCTCCCATCCTCCCAGCCCCCGAGGCAAACAGTAGCCTGGAAAATCCTCCTGGAAACTACCGGCAGATGTGCTAACTGGTTAATTACAAGCTCGAGGGAGGGCGGGGAGGCGGGCGCCCTTTGAGCAGGTCTAGACGCACTTGACCCTGCGACCTGGAGGTTCAAAAACTTTATGGCGGCGTCGGAGTAGTCTTCAAACAGGGTCGGCGCCGCTTTCTTGTTATTCTCTTGTTTATAACCAGGAGAGTCATTGATAGGCGGTGATTACCGATGCTTCATCATGACCCGGAGGGATTTTGCGGTATCATTTTGCCAAACGCCAGATAGGCGATTATCTGGTCACCAGTTGCAAATGGAACGCGCCTCCTCTAGTGGCGAACCATAAAACTAGTATTTGTTCAGCGCAAACCACATTGGCTCTAAAAAAAATGTCGATTAAATTAACTTCGAACTTTGACGTCCCGACGAGACTCCACCAAAAAACGGAAAAGCTGGCCTTTGGGTTTTACGACTCGAGGTGCTAATGGAGGACGCGGAAGGGAGTTTTGTGTCCCTTATCTCGGTAGACATCTAATTATCTCGTGTAATCGTCGGTTATCGGCCGTATCAGCCTCAGGCCGTGACGCAGAAGTATCACATCTGCCGCCGCGTCGCCAGGGAGCTGGACCGTGCGCGCCCGATTTCAATTGATATTCCGATCTTTGCTTCAAGGATTTAATTGAAATACTTATATGCACAAAGGCTCTTATTCCGTCGGTTTTAATTACGTTTATCCCAGACTTTATAGATTGAAATATGTTGATGTTCTTTAATTTCAATATTGGAGAAATTATATTTTTTATTTCTACATATTTGCCTTTCATATGCTTTTCGATTTGATTCGTATATTCAATAGCATATCCTCCATTTGATATTACTCAATAGTCTCAACTATCTCTCATAAAGTACAGACTCGACACACAACTCTCGCGAGCCATTCAGCATTTAATCCGAAATCCAGCAACAGTGGGATTTATCAGGATCCTGAACTCTGGAGGCATAACTGGAAGGGATTACTCTAAGTTGCGATTACATTATCCGGGGTTCTGTTGTAGCTAGTTTGCTGTCAAGTCCAACAAGGCGGAGCAATTTATTGGCTCGGGAGACTCCTTGGGAAGGTCTTGGAGGGGACGACTGGCTTCTGTTCCGCCGCAGATTTATTCCACTCGAAGGTGGATTTATCTCGAGAGGAGCCCAGGCCCCGGTTCTGATGATGCGGTTCTTTCCGGCGGGCAGGGCGCGGGCTCAAGCAGCGGCTGCGTCTGGGGGCGGAACAGCCAGCTCTTTATTTATATGGAAAGGAAGTTTTCTTAGTGATGTGGATGGTTTTGCGAATTGATTGTTGATGGGTTATAGTATTATTTTCGTCATTATTATGTTTGTTTATGTTGTTGGTGTATTATATATATATTGCATATTTGTTTATAAATGTCTATAATATTTTTGTTTCCTTTTTTCCAGATTGGATGACCCCTTTGGTTAGCAGCTCACAGCTGAGTGCCACGCCTACGACGCCTACGGTCTCAGCACCTACGCCCACTCTCCCACACGCCCATCTGGCAGTCATGTATTCCCCGGCAGCGTATCCCGACCAGCCCACACCCTAC